GAGAAGTAGTTAGGGATGTTGAATGGCCTAGGTAGATATTCATCAAATCTAGACTCACTCAAACAGCCATCACACGTCCGGAAATCACTGTACGCACATTTCTTCCTTTCGGGAATCGCCAGTAGTGCGCATCCCGTCGGACCATGGGAGGACTCGAACCAGCAACTCGACTGTTGCCAGCCCGTGGTTGTGACCAGTGAGCTAAGGCAAACGGCAACGACCATGGTAAATAAGTTACTAGATGCGATATAGCACCGCTCACTATCCACTGACTTGCACGTTACTACAGTGCAGAGGACAGGGTAGCCCCCTCACCAAGCGACGAAAGTACCAAACGTATGCCGCCAATTACCCTATGGCATTATGAGCAGATTGGTCTGCGTACTGATTACAGAGAACTAGTAGGGGCAATCGAATGGTATAGGTAGAAATTCGTCACATCTAGACTCACTCAGACGGCCATCACAGGCCCAGATAAGCACTCTACGCGCGTTCCATCCTTTCGGGAGCCGTCATCAGTGCGCATTCCATCGGACCCTGGTAGGGCTATGTCACATCTGGTAACGTATTCACAATGGTCGTTGCCGTCCCCCGTAGCTCAGTGGTCACAACCACGAACTGGCAACAGTCGAGTTGCGGGTTCCAACCCTACCAAGGTCCGTTGAAATTCGCACGGTTGACGATTCCTGAAAGGATGAAACGCACGTATAGTGCTTTTCCGTGTGTGTGTTGGCTGTCTGAGTGAGTCTAGATGTGACGAATTTCTACTTATCTTTGTTTCATCTCGGTTTATGGGATATTTTTCCATAAATGCGCTTAGCATAAAACTTCCAAAAGTTTCGGTATTTAAGTTGCTCATACCCCAGGGCTTTGTAAGCGGGACCGCTTAAACGCTATGTACCCGGCACTGTTGTTTGCGGGGAGCAAAACGCAGATATGTGGCACATATTGCGCACGCTTTCTAGCCTCAATACTTCATTGTAGTGCGGTGGGATACAAAGCAGTGGCTTTGCAATACCTGCATGGTGGTAACTGCAAAAGGAATATCAAAACGTTCCGCCTTAAAGCGTGAACTATCAGTACTCCTGTCATGTTACCTTGTTATACAGGTATGTAGCATTTGTCACTTAGCTCTATGTCTAGTAACCTTTCAAATGTCACAATGTTCCGTAACTTCACCATATGAGCTGACAATACATTCTGGCCTAAACCGATTGTAAGAGGGTAAAAATTCACGCTACGGTCCAAGCGAAATTGTTGGGTAACTAGCATCAGGTCGTTGCGTCAGCATCGGGTGTAAGTATCTCGATCCAACAATGGCGTACATGGGCGAGCACTCCCTGTCTGTATCCAGTATTCGTGAAGGAGATCCCTGCGAAGTCGTCGGTATTATGAGGGGAAAATATCGGTTGAACAAAAGCGGTTTTCATATTCAAGACTATATAATCCCCGGTTGCCTCTGCAGCTCTTCTTTGGGGCTGCTGCAGGAGACGAATGTCACATTTCCGCTATGTGCACCAGGCTTGAACTACAAAGTGGTCGTGGGCCGAAGTTGGGCGCTAATCAGTAGGGTTACTAGCTGTTGTTCAATGGTACCAAGAGCTCACTGTAGATGCCGTAAATTCTTAATTACCATATTCGCTGCTCTGGAAAATTTGAGCGAATTTCCTACTTTCTTCAACAGTGATACCTAGATCCCTTACACTGGTTACGTGCTGTAGAATCTTATGTCTGTTAAATAAATAAACAAATAAATACATAAATGGTTTATTCTCGGCAGCGCGAGGCGTAAGTGAACTTATTACGCAGCGTTGGCAGCAGGCACTGCAGTGTTCAGGGAAACTTGGTTCCGTTCAGCTCATTCACAAATTCAGCCGAGTTCGTTTTGAAGTTAGTCACGGTGGGGATTTGAACGAATAACCCTCCAAGTTTTGACATCGACTGCAAATATTTGCGTTGTCCGAAATATTTGATAGGAGATCATTGATTTAATTAAATAATTTAACGGGCTGCGGACAGATAATTGCGGTACTCCAATGGACATGCACAGACTGTCGGAGTGCGTCCTAGTAATCCTTATTGTGATTCCAGCCGCCGAATTGCCAAAGTTTCAGCAAGCTGAAGCAAGCGAGCATTACACTGTCGGTTAATTATCCTGAACAATTTGCATAACTTTTGACATATAGAACATTCTAGGATGTGTTGAGCAATGGAGTAAACCGGCAGCTTTGGACCATTTGCGATCATATTACATGAAATGTGTTATGAAATCCTAGTCGACAGCCTTCTCTAAATTCGGCCCACGTACTTGTTACCACAAGCGCAATGAAGGAGACAAACACATGAGGCGATAACTAGAGAGTCTAGCTTGTCCAAGCTGGGTTTACATAGCAACTTCCTTACACAAGTTGGGCCGCGGAATAACACTTCTTATCATCTGGCGGAGACGGTGCCGGAATGTTCTGCCATTTTGGTCTTATTTACACGGTAGCCTAATAAACATATTTTTCTCGCGAACACCTGTCACTCGTTCTTCCTTACTTTCTGTGTTTGCGTGTCGTCCCATAGATCTCTCGGGCATTACTTTTAACGTAGTGTTGGTGACACGTTCCAGCTCGCTGCCAATCGTTTCTTTAGACTAAATTTTGCGAGCTTTAACGAAGTTGCTGCGAACCATTGTGCATTTGTAGTTCTTAGGACAGAAAGTTGAGCTATTGTCCGGTCCAAGTAAACTGGTGATACGTGGATCAAGTGAGCCTACGCCTGAACCCCTCTCCAGCTTTATATCCAAAAAATTGAAGGTGTTATCTGTTTCGCTTTCCATCGTGATTTTGACTGCTAGGTGGCACACGTTTACAATATTAAGTAGATGTGTTGCCTGCCAAGCGCTATCAACCACAACAAACGTATCGCCAATGAATCTACAATACAAATGCACAGTTTTATGCTGTCACGTAATGCAGTGTTCTCCAACAAGACCATGGAAATTTCGGCCTGGACTTGTCAAACTAGGTTGCTCATGGCTACACCATCAATTAGACCATGAATTGTTCCATTGCATTGGAAATGAATGTAATTTGTGCACAATCGCTGCACTGACTTAATGGGATGTGCCGGAAATCCCACTTTGTCGGTGTGAAAGCAGATGATGTGTAAAGTCTTTTCCAGTGGAACTTCGTGAACAATAAGCATGCAATATAAGAAACCATGTATTTCCCTTTTGCTGTATGATTTGATGTAGGCAGGTGGTCGTCATTCAGCTGGCTAACGTACCGTCGGATTGGAAGGCAAAGAGCAGGATATATGTGTAGCCTATATAAATAATTTGGTCCAATTCAAGTAGCAAAAGCAATGGCTATATAAGTCATTCGCTTCTTTGACTTATGGCAATCGCTGTTCCGTTCCTTTTACATATGCAGTCGTAAAAGAAACTGATCTAAGGCTTGTGCTAATGAATATACTCGTACTAAAGCCGCATGCGCTTTTGCTAGTTAGCAATTCAATGGGCTTCCAGACAGACAAAGTGAAGAGAAACCGGAGGGTAAGTTGGGAAAGACAGTTTACTGATCAGGTCTTGTAAAGGTCTGTAACGAGTTGCATGTTTTAAAATGATAAATACATTTACTAATTAGGCCTGGAAATAAAATTACTCATTTCCTGGAGTTATATACCTCAGGGTGGATAGAATTAGTTGCACCATTGTTCAACTTGTATCAACAAATTACATAGGAATGCTGTGGTCTGTCTTGGTATCCAGGTTTCCCTGACCTGACCACTCAACGCACACATGGTTGGCGGCATCCGGTTTCGGATTTGCCTGTCACTGTGGCAAGCCACAGGACGCCTGCGCCTACAGATGGACCATGGATGGCTTGCGCTGCACCACCCACAGCTCCAACCACATACCCCATATCCAGTGTAAACCCGAAGGAATAAGACCGGGAGGCATGCGGATGGGAACCACGTTTCATCAACGGAGCCGGCCCACACTCCTTCACAGGCAAACACAAGCACGCTGTATTTGGGGAATCAACCGCACACAAGGCGGTGGCTGGAACGTAGTCCGCTCCACACTGAGTGCATGGAACCGCTCTTTGAGCCTAGCACGGCCACAAAAACCGTGCACCCCGTCCCCTCCAGCAACGACCAACTGTCTCCTGGAGCCAGTATGAACGATGTAGTGGGTAATAGACAGGTAGGCACCTTGTCAACATACACATCAAGTGCAACCATACCAGGGATATCAAACAACAGCCATTCACTCTAAACGACAAGCTGAAATGAAATAAATCCAATAATGCATACAGATACGGTGGCATAACTCTTCGCTAAATTACCATATGAAGTAAGTTGGTTAGCAACAAATCCGTGATAAGTAAGAAATGTCCACAAGTTACTTAAAATGCTACAAACGCAACAAAATTACCGAAGATAAGCGCAATTTGTGTAAGCAACGTGGCCAGTTAATAGAACATTATTCAGGGAGGCAGAACAAACCAGGTAAAGCGGAATGAAATTTAACCAGCTTAAAAAGACCTAGTTTAAGTGTAAGTTGGTTTAGCCCAACTGCGGTGAAGAAGCATCAAGAATGCAACATCAGCCTCAGCATGGGGCACACATAGTGAGCAAGATACATGTAGCAAAGAAGCAGAGGCCAGTGGATCATCGGACTGCCCTGTGAAGTGGAAACAATGGGGTAGGTGGTTCGAAGGAAGCATCAGGTCTCATTCTTACGGGTGTTGCTAAAAGTCGTACTGGCCCTTAAACGATAAGACATATATACGAATGAATAGAATTACCGCCATTAGTGAACCACGCTTCTCCAAGACACAGGAACCCACATTCAGCGCATGAACAGAAGGTTCGTTTTCAAGATGTGTTTTGATGGATTGTGCTTTATCGGACGTGAGGTTGGAGATGATACTGTGGTTGTGTATTATCCACAAATAATCCTACGCTGTAAATCACGGCACATAGAATAATATGTACATCAATTTTAGATGTTCGGTCCATGCACTCCACGACTTCGACTGCTATTTGGATGGGAGTATCGACTCAAGCGCCTGCATACTGGAAGCAAGACAAGGAAGAAGCAAGCAAACAGGAACCCTTTAGAACATCTCCGCAAGGTTCACATGATGACAAATCCCCAATGACTAGCGCAACACCTGCCCTTTCCCTCTCGGTGAACGACCCTGCTGGTATGAGTAAACCCCGGCATAGTCGAATGAAAGCAAAACGCAAAGTAGAAGAACATGGCGGTTATCCAGATCCACTTGGCAAGTCAAGAAGTGGACTATACCGGCGCTCCGAGTCCGTGTGTCAGATCTTGGAAGTCCGTCCAAGTGCCGCCCTTATGCTTACCGATATGTCTAAGCTAAACGCCGCATTTAACGCCATGATATACTATCTACCAGTTTTCCGTATTCGCAAACTCAACGCAAGAAATTCCAGAGACAGAGAGTTACAGGTGAGTCAGCAGATTACTAGGAAGCACTAATGCTATTAGCACGGATCAAGCTGTTTTACGTAGACAGTACTGTCAAAACAAATGTAGCAGCAACTTACAGCGGATTTCTAAATTTCCTCAAACAACACCATACAACTGTTTGTAATTGAGATCAGCAGGTCTCGTGTAACCGTTGCTCTGATGAGGTTAACAGGCGACAGGAATGTGGCATTCGTACATTCTACTCATTGCATTTCTGAAGCAGTGTAGTTTTTCTCGGATGACTGGCCGATGGGGTCAGATACCAAAAATCAGGGAAGTAATTGTGGAGGTCCAGGTCAATTGATGTGTCTCGCGGAAGATGTGGGCCCTAAGCAGATTTTAGATGGCATAAAACAATAAAATCCTTAATATTCCTTCATTAAACACGGAATCCGCCTCCGCGGTTGCCTTAGGTGTGCTTTAGTCAAACCCACTATACTTCTTAAATGTTTTACGAATCAACCAACACAAATTCAAGAACAAAGCTGATATGCAAAATGTATTTTTTTGGTCTCGCGGTATGCTATGTGCTCAGGTCTAAGGTCTGTTTGATCACCGAATCTAATTCATGATAAAAGACTATAAGAACGATGATGTGAATCAGACGCGGTGGATACAAGCGGCATTCAAACTCGCTCGTGGAAGCACAGGTAGTATTCTTCTGTCCAGGTATCCCCAACAATCTCTGCACTGAAACTTGTCAAGAAAAGTAGATTAATAATCTTTAACGAAGAAGGATTATTTGGCAACCCATGTGCAAAAATTCAGCTGACTGTATGTTAGCTAAATCGTCATAAGAAAATAAGCATGGAAATATAACTGATGGAATGCACGTGTTTATATACACGCAGAATTTTCCCCCTTAATCAGCAGTCCTAGGTGTTTGGGTTTTATTTTCCATTCTGTAAAGTTAACCATCTCGCTTTTGTATTGAGGCACAATACTTGAGGTGTCTTGCATTTTAGTTAAGATGAAATGATGTTGAATCGATAGACCTCCGAGGATTGTTCCTTGTTCACTGCTAACATTCCCAAGTAGATGGTTGGCGTGAAAACTGAAGTTTACAACTTTGATTCTTCGATCTGGTTTGTCGCCTATGAGATCCACCATCCACTCCAAACAATTTCAAGTCATACTGCCGGTTGCAATGCGGTGAGACCGAATGGTTGCCTTGAAGGCACCGCACGCTTTCTTCTTTATGATTGTTGATACTTAATGTGTAACCAGACCAGAAACTGTGCATTAAGTCACTAGACAGACAAGGACTTTTGTATTTCATTCATTTCCAATGTTCCAACACAACCTAAGTATAAAGTTTGGCTACTGCTGACGAAACATTTGACATTTTGCTGACGTTCGCCGCTACCGGTTTGGCGCTTCTTTGTTAAAAGAAAATTACTGAGCAGCAAAGTCAGCAGTGCTTATCTGACTTGATGTCTTATTAACCAAATTAAAGCACGGATAACAAGAGGAAAAAGGTGACGTAGAATAGTCAGAGCCGCATGTCTTAAACATGAAACTTTTTATTTCCCATCTCCTCATTCATGGTTGGCGGCATCCGGTTCCGGAAATACCTGTCACTGCGGTTTCCTTAGGTAAGCCGCACGACGACTGCGCCTGCACCTACACAGGGACCATAGATGGCTTGCGCTGCAACACCCATAGCTCCATCCACACAACCCATGTCCAGTGTAAACCCGAAGGAATAAGACCGGAAGGCATGTGGATGGGAGCCACGTTTCATCAATGGAGCCGACCCACACCATTCAACATGCACAGTAGCAGCATTCCTGTCCATCTAATTTGGGAATCACACGTACCAGAGGTACACAAGGCAGTGGCTGGACCGTAGCCCGTTACACACTGGATGGAACCACTCTTTGAGCCTAGCACGGTAACCTGGGCTGTGCACCCGTCTCCCCAAGCGACGACCAACTGTCCCCCGGGGGCAGTATAGAGACGTGATGGTGTTAGAAAGGTAAGCAACTTGTCAGCATTCACATCAAGCGCAGCCACGCCTGGATATCAAACAACCAAAACAATTTATAAGTAGTAGGGGATTTGTTAGGTTTTTGTGTGTCCAGGAAAGCGCTTTCCTGGACGTGTAGTGGTTGTCTGCTTGTGTCTAACTTCGACGAATCTACACAAAACCAAAACAATGTACGAAGATAACAACACGCAAAATTGATACAGAAGTTGCAGCAGTATAACATAACTGAGCAAATCAATTAAAGTAGGACACATTTTATCGAGATTGAGAAGATCCAGTTTGTGTAAGTTGATGTAGCCCAACTGCGATGAAGAAGCATGTTACATGCCACATCACTGACTTAGTTGCCCAGTAAAGTTCCCCGCGTGTTGTGTTTGTGATGTGTCCGTGTGTGAGTGGGGCAGATGGAGCCAGGCACCGTCGCAGTTTTCTCACGAACAGAGAAGCGGTTGGGAAAAAATTAGCTGAGGTGCACAATGTGTTGTGGATCAAAAACACCACATTTTCCGACTAGTCGGATGTGCTCCTCTCAAGCCGTATCAAGCAGCCAAACCGGTGAATAAGTCACCCGTTCAAATCCTATCTAGGTCGACTCCACTAAAAACACTTAAATAATGACGATCTCGGTTGTGAACTGCAATGGTAGCGACAAGCAACATCAGATCCATCTACTTGTTTGATTGTTCATCTGTTGCTCGGATACTAGATCTACAGTCCAACGTGTTATGGCGACCACCTGTCTATGGTAACCAGCCAGAAACATCCCCAACTTCTTCTCTTTTGCGTAATGTCCCTATGCATGAACCGGTCTTTGGCGACCATTTTTGTCGGTCCCACTCAAGTGGTCGCCTCAGACAGGTTTGACTGTATGTTGGTAACTTACTAGACGACAGTTCAGTGCGTCGTTAAACTATTTGTAAGCATTTGCATCCGGGGATAGAGAGGATTATCATGTCTACTATTCTGAAAGCGTTATATCGTAGCATTTGCCACTGATCTGCATATTGATAAAAAAATAAGCATCTATGACCACCAGCATGAGACATTAATTATATCTCAGTCAATTGGTGAGGTATATCAGTCGCTTAAAATTAGCATGTGCATTCGAATGATATTACATTCAAATATATACTAAAAAGCTTCGTTGGGCTGGTATTTTGCGCTTGCTCTTCGTGTGCGATGTTCACTCAGGCATCACTCTCTGGAAGGTGTATTCATACCAATGAGGATACTGTGACGTGGGGACAGCTGTTTCTCCTTTGTTGAGATCTGATGATTAAATCGCATCTTGGTTAGCAAGGATAGAGTCACTATTACTCATTCATACCGAATATTAACAGAAAGCTTATGAAGCCCTTATCAGTATGAGAGAAAATTTGTCCTGTTGATTTTCCCGATCTCGAGGGATGAATGGTGTTTATTCATCGCCTCAATGTTTGTTGATAACTTTTTGATAACTTTTTTCAATGTTGCTTGTTCCCCTTCGACCACTTCGTCTGTTGCAACTTCATAACTTTCCCATTGTCCTAGATACTAGTTTATTTTCGTCAAGTGCTGTAGAAATGAAAAGTTTTGTTAATTTTCCTTGAGTTCGACGCTTCGTATTGGCGAATCGATGCCGGATGTAGTAAGCGTTATTACGAAGTTGAGAACAAATAACATATGTTGGAATTAGCCAAAGCATCATTTTGTTGATTGTGGTGTGAGTGACGTTAAACTTTCTTTACTAGAAGCTTCTGAGTCTACCACAAAACGATGCAACAAGACTGGAAGGCATACGAAGCCATTCCGTGATATTTGGCCGTTTCGATGCAGTTAAACGTCTTAATCGACCACTCCGACACTTTGAAATGTGTGTCAATGAGATCACCCAACGTTTGGTGCAACAGTTCCCGGAATTGGTTACTCAACGCGAGCATCTGTTTCACATTGCCCGCCAGATTGTCAACATCACGAATTACGGAATGACGATTAAGGAAAGTGGTGAGGTGAGTGGCTTTAAGTAGTTGGTTGACTATTCGAATACCTGATCACTTAGAATGCTAGTGCGATCCTTAACATGAGTTTAACGACGGTTAGTAATAGTGCCTCTGAGACTTCTCGAGAATCTTCTAAGTGCAGAGTACTCTGCGACGCAAATCCGTCGCTCTAACTTGAAGCATGCATTCACACACTCAGAACATCTTGCATAAGCAGCTTATTGTTAACACACACGCACACCACACTAGGTCATTCCAGCTCTTGTTGAATATTTGCTCATTAATGGGTTGCCCTTACAAAAAACAACCGTGCATCTTTTTAAAACACAGACGCAGCTTGTATCGAGAACTTTTTTGATTTGTGTATGTTTGCCGTTAAGAGTGGCAATGTACCAGCCAAATAGTTACTAACTAAGAAGCAGAATCCTTAACATCACGTTAGGCACACCAAGTGACAAAGAAATTTAACGGTGAATTATGCAAGTTTTCACTCAGTTTGTGAGGAGTGAAGTAAGTGGGAGCACTTTCATTAGTTGCTTGCCTCGGCCCAGTTAAATAACTAAAATCTGGCATCTAACTATGTGTGAAAAAAGTGCGGGTGAATCCCAAGAAAGTAGGTGTCATTACTATTCATCAAATGACTAGCAGATCAAGTAGTTACTTATCTAATAATTTCTGTAACTGCAATAGTAACTAGAGAAACTCCTCCACAAAACCTCCGCTGAAGCGCCTAATGTTTCAAACGCTTGCGCTAAATCTTGGACCATGGTACCCTGGTAATTTCTTGTAAGCAGATTAGGGTAACTCTTCCCTTCGAGAGACCGGTTGCCGAGATTCAAGTTGAGTGTTGGCTGTAGAGGAAAGACTTATCAATTTGTCCCTAACAGTTCATACAATTCACTGAGGTGTCGTCTGTTTTTGTTTCGCTATGCCATGTCTGTTGGTTCCTAGATGTGCAACCTCTGTGAGGATATTATCATGACGATGGACTTGCTAGAAACAATTTTCTTACCTTCTTCTGACCATCAGATCATTTGGGGAATGTTGGAGCCTGACCTACTGGGCAAATCAGTTGCCGAAAACGGCTCCTTGAACCAGTGAGTATCCATCCGCGCTTTTTTTGGGGTTATTGAACCGGTGGATAGCTTGCAGTATGCTCTGGTCTCTCAAATCAGCATTGTTCAACTAGACAGATACGCACCTTCATATAGGGCTGCGTGTGTAGAGTCGAGCGTGAGAAAAACGGGTCGTAGCATAACCTGTGAGCTCACATGAGTGTTAGCGCGCGTCAAACATGAATACGTGAAGATGCAGCTTATGTGGACCCGACTTGCGTGGTCTTGTGAGAACGTCGTGTTTATAGCATTAAATTCTCGGAGAACGATGAATGGAATCAAGCGCGCTAAATGTGCTGTGCAAAACTTGCTTAGCTACACCTTGGGAAACTTGTTCGTGAGTCCTGAGGCCTGAGAGCGATTCACTGATATTGGCCATTTCCAAGCTCGAAATTTGAACAGGGGCAACCACATTAGATTAAATATGTTTAGACAATGAACAATGATTGCACAATGACTTGACAAGTCCCGTAGGGTGGTTGGAGTAAAAATTGAAATTTGTAGGATCATCGAATAAGTAAATCGTCATTTCAAGCGTCCACCGAGTTAAATACGCTACTGCGTAACGATAGTCTGAAGTGGGAACGGGATGTGTACACGAAAAATAGTATACAGAGCCGTTATAGTTCAGTAAGTGAGTGGACAATAACAAAGGAAATGAAAACGCTCAGTCGTTTGTTTGTTTATTTGGCATATGTGGTGTTAATCCAGTTTACCTACATCCAGGCTAATCACATAGACACTTGTGCATGTATCCGCACCGCCAAGTTGCGGAGAGGGCCGTTAAGCACATGGTTAGGTTTGCGTTATTTCGCCCTCCAAGTGGAACGGACTATATCAAGTAATGCAATTTCGCAAGCGCTTCATCAAGACGTTTTGTTGAAAAGTATTAATGTAGGGGGCAAGGATAACGTGTGTCGGAAGAGCATTCCACGCACGGGACACACGGAGGGAGAAAACGTTGCGTCGATAATCAAGTCGGCTGTAGTGCATAGCCAGTTTGAGCTGATAGCCTCTCAGTTTGGTATTTTGGCTCAGCTGCAATAGATTGCGACATGGGTGAGTTGGGTTCGTCATTAGTAAGTAAACCATAATTAGATCTCCTCGCTGTCGTCAATATTCACCACTGTACAATCTCAGAGACTGCAGACTGCGTTGGTAGGAGAGATGAAACAATCCTCTAACGAGTTTGGTCGCTCTACGTTGTGGAGCTACAAGAGCATCGACGTCGCGCTTGCGCCAGGTACGTTAGGCCTAGATCGCATATTTCACATGAGACCTCACGTAGGTGTTCAGCATTTGCGGAAAGATTGATGGCTCAAAATTGCCGAAAGCCCTCCGTAAGAGTCCAAGATGTTGACTGGCTCTTTTTGATGCCTTTCAGCCTGTCTCGAGCAACCAAGTTCGTCCTGCACGATCACCCCAAGGTCGTTTTCTTGGGAAGCACGTTGTAATTGCTGGTCCCCAAGTCGATATTCATAGATAAGCTGATGGCGTATCTTAACGATTTTGCACTTGGTCAAGTTGAACTGGAGCCGGTTGTCGGATGACCACGCACAAGCCCTGTCGAGATCACTCTGCAATTCCATGTGATCATCCGATGTCGTGATATCACGCCAAATTTTGACATCATCTGCAAATAGCAAGAAGTTCGACTGTAGTACACTGCCAACCTTGTTAGTGAATGTTAGGAATAAACATGGCTCCAGTACCGATCCTTGAGACACGTCACACTGGACATCAATTGGGCCGGACATGGGGCTGCGGACTCTCACCTTCAGCATTGCATTTCGTCGCGACAATCTTGAAAGTACCGAGGTGGTGGTACGGCAAGATTCATGGCCACTGTCTTCAAGGCCTTCGGTTTGATGTCATCCACGCCAGGTGAGCTTTGCGCGTGCAATGACATTAACGTTTTCATCACATTGGCTACCGTGAACGATACGTGGTTTAACCCTGGTGTCGATGGAAGCTGTGTAAAAAGCGGATGAAATGCTGATTCACTCCGGAAAATATGGATGGAGTGCTGGTGAAGCACGTTGACTGCATCTTGTGCGGTTTGCGCAAGACTATCTGTTACACACAAAACCGGGGTCCAGCGCTGCACTCTGCGGCGCTTGTTGACGTGCCTATACAGTAACTTGTGAGCTGTACTGAATTTCGCCGCTAAGTTCAGTTGGTGCTGCAGTTTGTCTTCGCGGATCAACTTGACGCAGTGGTTTCGTTAAGTTGTTTAAGCACCCCAGGTCAAATTACTTGGACAGACTTCGTAAGCGCGCCAGGCTGAATCCCTTAACGCTATGCATTTTCTAGTACGGCTCCTCAGGAAAGAGTTCACTTACTTTGGGCGAAGGACCATGCTTTCTGACGCACTTGCCACTAGCTCACTGAATTGGGTGACGAACGACATCCAGGTGACATCGGGCGGCTTCTCGGCCAGGAAGGACCAGTCGGTTTCTTGAACGAAGTTGGACAGCATATCGTAATATGTAACGACAAAGGCTTCCACCTTGTTCTCACTGATGTACTCCGAGTAACAGATGTAACGAAAGTGTAACCTCGCGTGATCGCTACGGCCAAGTGACACATCTATGGTCGCGGTGTCGACCATTATTTCCTCGTTAGAGAGCACAAGGTCCAACACAGAGGGTGTGTCACCCGTTCGGAATATCGTGGGAAAGGTGGCAGGGTTGTACAGAGGTACATCGGCGTTCACCTCTTGAAAATCCGCCTTGAATTGTTCGCTGTGCGATGCTGGAACTTTGATCGCGTGCAGGTTGAAGTGCCCCACAAGATGAAGGTGACTGTATTATAGTGCCAGGACTTGTTTGATCGCAAAAGCTAGGCATTAATCCATTTCCAAGGTGGACATTGAAGGGCGGTAAATTATTGCTAGTAAACACACACCACCACGTCTTAAGTGCATACTACACCAAAGAGAATCGACGACTCTCTTTTTGGGGCCCTCAAGGACATCAACATGTACAATGAACAATGAACAATGAATTTATACGGCTTAAGAAGCGTTGCTTTACAAGTCCCGTTGAATAGTTGCAGGGGATATCAACATAACAATAATAATGATAAGGATAGTAAAATAGTTAATAATTTACATATGAAAATAAGGACTTATCGTTTGCTTCGCTGCAGTCCTGCGATCCTCTTAGATTCACAGCATCCACAGTTAACAACAAATAATTCCATGGTAAACTCCAGGTGTAGGATTGAGACGTAGTGTTAAGTAACAAAGTGCAAGTGGTTGAGTGCATCGTCCAACCGCCTTTCAAATACTGTTAGTGTCGGTGCCGAGACGACCGATTCTGGGAGAGCATTCCACGGGTGACAGACACGAATGGAAAAGAAATTTCTGCAGCACTCCAGACGACTGTATTGTTCTGCGAGTTTTAATGAGTGGCCCGTCAGGTTTGTATTGCTGCTGAGTTGCAGTAAAGGGCGGCACACATGATGTGGGTCTCGCAGAATCAAGTATGCCATAATCAGGTCGCCTCGTAGTCTACGATAGCTTCCGCTGAGCAATCCTAGTCGTCGCATCCTCTCCTGGTAGGAAAGATTGCACATTCCAATTAGGTTCTTAGATGCCCGACGTTGTGGCTGCTCCAGTGCATTAAGGTCGCGTTTCAGCCATGGATGCCAGGCTTGAATTGCATATTCGACATGGGGGCGAACATACGCACTGAGCATTTGTCGAAATATGGAGCTGTTTATTTGTCCAAACGCCCGCCTCAACAGCCAGACGTGTTGGTTCCCGGTCTTCGAGGCCTTTTCGGATTGCTTAGAGAAAGCCAAGTCATCTTGAACCAGCACATCCAACTCACGTTCGAGAGTTGATTGTTGCAGTACATCCGTTCCGAGTCGGGATGAGTAGCTGCTTTGATGTCGGATGGAAAGCACTTTGCATTTACTGACGTTGAAATGCAATCAGTTTTGGGTCGACCATTGATACACGGTATATAAATCACTCTGAAGCACATGTTGGTCGGTGTTCGCCTGGATCATGCGCCAGATTATAATATCGTCGGCAAACATTAGGAAGTTTGAAGCGATTCCCTCTACAACGTCATTAATAAACACCAAAAACAAACGTGGACCTAGAACCGGGCCTTGAGACACACCACACTCCACTTGTATGGGGTCAGTTAAAGAGCTCCGATCTCTGACCACTAATTGCCGTTGAAATAGAAAGTTGGCAATCCAGCTTAAAAGAGGGTCTCCGATCCCGTAATGCTGCAGCTGGGATAGTAGTATCCGATGGTCTAGATGATCGAAAGCCTTGGAAAAATCCAGGTAGATCACAACAACACCTTCTCCAGCGTCGGCTGCCTCGGTCCAACTACTGCGTGCAATTAGTAAATTAGTTGTACATGACCGCTGTCGACGGAAACCGTGCTGTTCAGGGGTGATGAGGTTGCAGTTTTCCAGATAGTACACCAGTGCATCGGCAACTTTGGATTCTATGACCTTGAAGAGTATAGGAAGAAGGGTTACTGGGCGGTAGTTGGGGGGATCAGTTCTGCTTCCACCTTTGTGAATCGGGGTTATTATTCCAAGCTTCCACATGGCGGGAACTTGGTTCTGGTCTAAGCAGTGCTGAAAAAACTGAACTAAAGGTCCTGCCAGGTGGTTTGTTGCTGCTCCCAATGCTTCTGGACGGATGGTGTCGACACCCGGCGAGCTGTGTTTGCGTAGAGAAGTCAGCTTTTGCAATACAGTCTGTGCGGTAAAATTGATGCGGGTTAGTCCTGGTGAGCAGAATACAAAGCTTGGTAGATCGCTTGGTGGCAAGACTCCTTGAAACGTGGGGGCATATTGCATCCACAGCGCGTTTGTTGCTTCCACAGCCGTTCTTGTTGGGTCGTCAGCCGTCCTGAGTGGAGGAAATCCTTGCCTCACCTTTCGCAGGCTATTAACGTGCTTGTAAAGCAGTTTGTGGTTAGCACTGAAGGTTTTTGCGATGTTCTGCTGATAGGCGGCTTTGTCTTCTCTTAACAGTTGAGTGCAGTGGTTACGTTGTGCTACGTAGTTGTCCCAAGCTTCTGGTGCTGGAGCTTCTCTGTACACTCGCCATGCTGCGTTGCTTACTGTCATCCATTTTCGACTTCTGCTCCTAACGAAAGAAACTGATTTACACTTATTGCAAGCTTTTATCTCTGAAGCCTGTGCAATTAGCTGACTGAATGTGTTGACGAACTCGAGCCAGGCGACTTCCGGGGGTCCTTCTTCGAGGAAAGACCATGTTGTGGCGCTGACTAGCTGGCCGAGTCGGTCGTACCTTGTGATGGTTCGCACAGTCTCATCGTTATCATTCAGATATTCTGCATAGCAGACGAAGTTGAAGCTGATGACTGCGTGATCACTGCGACCCAACGGGCAGTCTAAAACCAATGCACCAATCATATGCTCCTCGTTGGTAAGCACAAGATCTAACACAGATGGCCTGTTACCAGTTCTGAACCGAGTGGGCAAAGTGATGTGGTTGTAAAGAGGAACAGTAGTTATTAGATCTTGTAAATCCGTTTTGAATTGTTCTATGATCGCGGCAAGTGCTTCTAAACAATCTACGTTGAAATTACTCATGCTAAATATATGAGTGTACTTTGGTTGTAAACTGCACCTTAAAGCAGCCGCTAGGCGGTAGTCGGTTTCGGGTGTTGAGTTAGGGGCGCGGTACACCAAGACAATAAGGCAAGCGTCCCTGCCTTTTAACTGCAACCGGCACCAAAGAGAGTCGGGGAACTGTGAGTCTCAATCCTCCACGGCCTCGCACTGTAAGCCGCTTCAGTAATACAGAATTACCCCTCCTCCTTTTGTGAGCCTGTCGTTCCGGATCGGCGACATGCCGGGTAGCGAAACTTCAGCGTCCGTCATTCCCGTGTGCAACCATGTCTCGGTGATACCAATGACATCATACGAGCCGGAAGCTTGGCGATCTTTCATTTCAGCCAGTTTGTTAGAAAGACCCTGAGCATTTGTATACAAGCAGGCCAGTTTCTCGGTCTCTAGGAGCCCGCAGTGAGGTGAAGCTGTCAAGTGTGGGAGAATGCCGACCGATGGGAGGTCGGCAGTTACTCGTTTTTTGATGGGTCAGTGACACCTCGTTTGCAACTTGATTCGGCCAAGGTGCGTCCCAGCCTTCGTTTAGACCTACGTCATGTAGGTCGGATCGACAATGCAGGAGCACTCCACCTCCTCTGCTATGTCGATCGTTTCGGATGGAAGTCATGCCGGGTAGTGCAATCTCAGCATCCATGATCTCCGTGTTCAGCCATGTTTCGGTGACCATAACTAGATTCCAATGCGTGACGATCTGATGAATACGAAGTTCGGTTATCTTACTGAGAAGATCTTGTGCATTGGAATGCAAGTAGGTGAGGGCATCGGTGGGAAGAATCGTGTTTGTGAATGCTGGTTTCCGGTGAGGGTCTATACCGACCCTTGCGGGGTCGGCTGCATCAAATTATGTCCAGGAAACTAAATCTTAACTGATCTAGCACGATTCGTCCATGACAGCCACAATCTAAAAACGATAGGAAAATATGCTTGAGCAATAACTGCCAGTGACTACGAATCTTGCTCCCGTACAACAGCGGTAGATTCATCTTGACCTAAGCAACCTGCCTGTTGTGAGCTCTGTTGTGGGTTACACAATGTAATCTACCTTGAATGGTGTGCAAATGGTATTCACCTGAGCTTAGTTTTGCAATTTCTGCTCAAGAGTTCTACACCCTCTTACTGCTACATTTCATACCAGTTGCATTAACCCGTACTCGATACGCAGTTCACTTTAGCTGGTGCCCTTATTTTGCTTCGTAACAGTTCCCCAGAAGGAGAAATGACTAATCCAAATTCCGAACCCACGAAGGAAACGTATTTGAAGGTAAAAGTTTCCGATTGTGTCAATGCACATAACTTGAATGAGTGCAGTAGTTTACCGCAATGTTAGATGTTTGCGCGGGTTATTTAGTCAATATAGCATAAACCACTTCTCACTGTTTCACTACCATGCTTTGGAGGGAATATAAGTAACGGGTTACCAAATTTAATTAGCACAAACACAGCTTATCTTCGAGTGTTTACACGTGAATCCAGCTGATTGACTACGAACCGCTACCAGAGCGCAAAACAGCGGAGGTTATTCGCCGGCTGACCAATGTTTGATACGCCAGAGCACAGCTATATCTCTCATAATTTTGCAAGTTACTACAATGTTTCAAAGGATGATTTTCCAGTTGTAAGAGCCCTCGATCCAGCTACCACGCAACTTATACCGTTTATGTTAAGAGGCACTTGCTGAAGATGTGATTTTGGTTGCTTGCTCCCAAGATATTTGTTAGTCAAGCGCACGTACTTCGTTATACAGAACCTCGTTTGGCCGTTTTCCGGCCAATATAAGGATACCTGCATTATCTGAAATGTCGTCTCACCTAACATTGGACCATTGTGAACACAGCGTGTTCGATGGATGACGACCTCCTTTGCTTTATTCACCCTTTTTACATCGTTTTGATTAAATATAATAGTTGCAACTTTTTCCCCATGAGAGAAAAGCAATGAATTTCGGTGACAACCGCTAAACATAACAACCGTCCTTCCTTTCTGCGAAACCCATCGAAAGTAATACTATGGGCAATGTAGTTCATCTAATGGTTCCAGAATAATATTAATGTCAAACTCGCGATCCTCTGTCCGCCAGAAGTCCAAAAATTAGCCTGGAAAATGCCTATGATAGCGCCGAATATTGTACAGTTTGCAAACACTCCAATGTATGTCCAATGCTCATGTTTTAAATGAACAATGTTTCTAACTGAATTAATTACGTTTGTCTCCCGGTCTAGATTTTGGGACATCTGAAGATAGAAATGCAGGAGTTGGTAGACAAGGAAAGTGAACTTCGTGAAAAAATTCAGAATTTCAAAAGAGACAAGGGTACTCTCACCCAGTCTCAGCCGCGACGCTTATTGGAACGTGTAATCTGCAAATTGCACGACCGTCTCCAAAGTACTGCGAAATACGTTGTGTTGCATAAAAGGTAAGAACTTCGTTGGTTGCTAAATGCGTACTTAGTTTTTGTTTCGCAGCTATCGGATTACGTGACCAGACACTAAATTGTTTCACATTGACTGATGAAAGTTAGCCATTCGTAGGGAAGCTTTTCGCTAATATGTAGATGTCACTGGTTGACTAAAATTCGGATACATCCGTGTAACTAAACAAGCGGCTGTCACCGTGGCGGATTGTGGACTAGGCCAGTTGGTTGTCGTACACGTTGAACACTGTTTCTGTAGTTGATGTGCGCACTTACAGCTCAGTCGCAATGATGGTTAATTAGATTAACGGGATCTGGATACCTTCTGCATGAAGATCTTCTCCGGCTACTGTATGAAAACAACAGGTAGACATTTCATTAAGTTGCCTCCTAAAATTGCTTCTCAAGGCCATGGTGCATTGACCGGAAGTTAAACATGACCGTGAATCAGCCTGTCACGGCTCACTTTCATTGAGTGGGCGACATTTGTAAATTATCTTTACCTACTGCTTACAAGACAGTAGAATAAAAGAATCGAAAAAATATTAGCAGCAGTTCGGAAATCTGTCAGCCGTTACCATTTCGGAGTCAATTTGATCAATAGTTCAATAGCTTTCTGATTTGAAAACTGCAATATATTAACTAAGTACATCAAAACTCGCCTGCTCATGGGTACATCAATCACACTGCTCAGTAGGACAACCGATTTCCTTTGTAATACCTCCAAGGCAGCCGCACGTCCGAATGATGTCCACCAGCCGGTACATAAACGCTAGCGCTAGCGGCTCGTTGAGCGGCCAACTGATTAAATAAAATGCTAACTGATGTGTTCACACACATGCATCGTGGCTCCTGGGAATACACCGAAAGCTAGTAGATCACATGAGTCTGTTCACGCGTTGATCGACGACCATCGGTGTACTGCATTGAAGTGGAGGGGCACGCACATGATCCATAAAAAGGCTACAGCAGAAGCCACATGGATACTTGAACGGACCATAATTGATGCCTAGCTCAAGGCCCTGATTACTCGCTTCTACGTGTGAGTTATAGTACGCAGCGGACATGGATGAGAACACTAATTAACACACTGCGTGAGGCGTATTCAGTTATGTTAGGGCTGAATTCTGGATGGAATACGTCTCAACTGATGAACGCCACTGGTTTAACCGGCTGTACGAATACAGCGCGCGAAGTGCCCTGATTCCCTTGTCATTGTACTGGGCGGCGTTTCAGCTGGAGGACTGAGGCGGTAATAGAGCTTGTGCTATGACAGAGTAGGCGTTTACCGGATGCATCAAACTATTTGCTTTGAGGGTGACGAAGTTATGTATAGTTTAGACCAACCGCAGTATCCCAAGCTTTTTCGAAACTATCCTGATTGCGTGGTACAGTACTTACCTTCAACTGAGTGGAGTTCATTGAAAAAAGGGAGTGCGATGTGACGGTTGGGTAGGTAATTATAATGATGTCTACAGCGGTTTAATGTGTGGTACATGTTTTCTGGAATGGTGTGACTAGCAGATAATTTCGGAACTATAATCAAGCTCTATGCACCTTTTTCACTTCAGCCAACATAGGGACCTGTTGTACTGGACTCTAAGTGGCAAACTAATATTGCACAGGTTGAAATGGTAGGGCATGAAAGTAGTTAGTGCTATTTCTGCTCATGTAACCATCGCCATCATCACCACTGCTCTTCCATTCTGATGTGTAACTCAAGGAGCTAAGCGTTTTCCAAACCTTCGCAACAGTTTACCCAACCTAATACTCGGTGGAATTAATGCTCGGTTTCTGCCTGCGGTTGTCCTTAGTGCAACACAATCTGCGAGCAATTTCACACCCATCAACTCGTCGAGCGTGCACAATAAGATTGTGTCACCGCTGACCGTTCGAACCCCAAGACCGCAAAGTGAACACGAAGACAAGCCAGTACAGAGCGTTATGCATGAGAACACTCCCTTATATAGGGTGCAATAGTGGGTTAAGTAATGCTAGTAAAGCACATCGGTGTCAACCAACAACACAGGACGTCGGATGAAGCCAGGGAATAAGAAGTAGTAAAAGAAAGACCCAATCACGCGAGTTCGAGTAAAAGGTATACGCGGAAATGGGCCTCTGAGATAAGCTCCGACGTGGGTTGGCGAATCAATGCAAATAAATAATGTTTTTAAACAAGCGTCAACAAACAAACGGTAGCGAAACGAAAGTAAGCAACTAAGCATTGTCAAAAAATATATGTCACGTAAGCATTCTGTTAACAAACAGCATCTGACTTGTCATCATCATTAGACCTGCGATTGCCATCATGAGTGTCAGGATGTATTAGTGTCCCTCATTACTGCCTTGCAAGGTAACTGCGCAAAATCCACTATGACAATACTTGTGCCCGCGATCTGTCATGCATCTCTGAACCGGGGTTTACATTGTTGAGAGAGGGCTTGCGGGAACAATGTCCTAGTGCCGCATGGAAGGAAAAACAGTAGTCCAATCTATAGACAAGTATGTTAGTAGAATCGATGTGGTTTGCAGTTTGTGTAATCTACTGCACAAGCGCAACACCTTCTTATCTATCGCATAGTATCTTGGCAATGACAACGGGACACGCAGACTCGTGTTTCTGACTCAATTCGAATTTGGAACTGTCGCTACAAGTCTCACTGAAGTACAAAATCATTTTACGGATCAAAAACACTGGAACCATCTTGCGCTTGGTGTTTTCTAGCCACAATCTTGCATTAAACTGCTACAGTTTCACCTAACCTTGTTACTACGTCCCGAGTTTTGATGGCTGCAACAGGTAAACCGTAGTCTGCGGTTGTTGTATTCACACGCTAACCTTAATCGTTTCAGATGGCAGAATGCCCAAAGAGCCTACCACTAGTCCTGTAACAACTGTTTTCCGTTTGACACCTTAAACCTTCCATTATCGTGATAAGTCATCAAAAGTGGGTCGACTGCATGGTGCACTGACTTATAATGGATACGAAGCAACCGGTCAACTTAATGAACTTGCCATAGTTTGCAGAGGACTATAAAACGTTATCAGCATTCTGCCACCGTTGCTTTTAATTAACCCTGTAATGTAAAGCGGACACTAGTTGAGTAAACTGGAAATCGTTTAGTCGTTGTCTGATGACAGTCTCTGAATTTCGAGTTGATCAATCGATGGACGTGAACCGCCTGTTACGGCCTGGTTACTATTTCGCAAGCGAGTTGACGGCACTGCCTGTAGGGGGCGCTTGCTATATGTCCACCACATTTAGGGTGACTACAAGAGAAACTAGAGTGAGAGTTTGTTGGAGCTTGGACAATTTTTATGCATGATATCCCTCCAGAATTTACCATCAGTGTGCAACGTGCTACGCCGCTTCTGGTTCACAAAGTTCATGGCTGCTGTGTAGCCGAACTTTTACGTCTGGTTACTAACGCCTCTAGGCGTTATCTCCAAGTTTAATCTAGCCTACCTTCAGACTGACAACCCTTAAGATGACTCCATCATTCATAGTGCTTAATAAATAACACAGTAGTTGCGAAATCCCTGGAAAAATTAACAGTTGAAGTGGACGCTGAATATGGCTTGAATACAATTAACTTAATTGGTGGTCAGAGTGTTCGCTGAGTTCGGCAGGTTGACTGTGAACGTTTCGTCACCACCTCGAGTGGTGATGAAACGTTTGCCGTCAACCTGCCGAGCTCAGCAAACACTCAGAGCACCAACTGAACAACCTGAGCTACCAACATTTGCTTCCAAATCGCACAATTAACCTAGGTGGTAACTGGAACCGTAACATGCGGGCCCGCTAGTCGCCGTTAGCAACAAACATGAATCATAGAAGTGAGATGGTTAAACTGGTGTTAGAGTTGCACTCAGTGGGAAGGAGTACACACCGATCGTCATAAAGTTGTTTTAGTCCCCTAAATTGATCCGCGCCGAGGATGCTATTTCAGCATCACTTAGCCCCCCAAATGCACACCATTGTCAACACCTGTTTCGTAGGCAGCCATATTTGAAATATGCGGCACAATATCGGAGGTGTTTTCCCACCTCTAGCTGATGTGTATAATGATATAATGATGATATTTGAAGTACAATCCCACCATTGAAGGCGCTTGACGACGTGAAACCTGTCTAGTACCAAAACGATAGCCAACTTGCGCACCAAGACATGTGTTCGTAAGCTTTGGTCTTATTATCAACCTCTGAGTGACGGCAACGAACCAAGCTAATCATGGTAACAACAGGAGTGTGTGCAGAGAAGGGTGATGGACTATACCATTTCTCGGACAAGTTGTCGTCTTGGGCAACAGAATTAATCTGAGGGGGCATCCAAAATGAGTCAACTCAATTAATTTTTCCGTGCGTAGGAGCTGAAGCGTCCCACCTGCCCCCCTATGACTTGGTGCGTCTGAGGTCCAGTTGGCTGAAGGCAACAGGCTATACACGCACACCTACACACCTGCACAAGTGACTGGCGTACGCACGGAACAAATTAATTGAGTGGACTCATGTTGAATGCCCCCTCAGATTATTTCTGTTGCCCAAGAGGACAACATGGCCGGGAAATGGTATAGTGCCTGCGCTGGGGGCGAAGATGATAACCGTGCTACCATAACAGTCACGTCAGCACTTACAAATATTTGAGTGTGAGCTCGTCCCAGCAGCATCTAGATCAGATAGTAGTCCACAAACCTGGAAAAACACTAGTATACATTTTCGACCTGTTGGGCCTCATCAACAATGCACATCTATTGCACCCTTCAGGATTCGAACATTTGACCACCAACAGCTACGTCAGCCAGCAACCTAATTCCACTGGGCCACGTGGGTCCGTGTCAAACCTTCGGTTTAAGCGCCAACTGCGATATGGCGCGTTTTATCCTCCACTGCCATGCACGTTACGAACGTTGCAGAGGAAAGGGTCGGCATCGAAAGACACGAGGTCCACTGACAGTAGCTATGTACGACATAGCATTTAGAAACTGTTAGGGCGGATGTATTAATGTCCCCCGTTGCCCTGTGGCGCAAGCTGCTTGCTGGCAGTGCAAGCTGCTGCTGTTCCTGGTTTCAACTCCTGATGGGTCCGATGGATGCGTACTACTAATGATGCTCAACTGTTTCTAACTGCAGTCTAGTGCCATTCCAGTCATGTGGAAAACTAACTGATTTGGAAGCTACTGTGACGAACTCTGAATTAACTACCTCAGAACTATCCGACTCATGAGTACCTATAAATAACCTTCACTAATTAATGTGGCGGTTGGCACCAGTGAAAATGATATTTAATGCATACTTGGTGTAGCCCGCTTGGAAACGGCCTGCTTCGGACTCGTTTGATCTCATTAGGTAGAGATGCCAGGCATTCGGACTCGCGGCATATGGGATAGTACTCGAAACCTCAACTCCTAAGCCACCGAGTCACGACGCGCAATGCATATGACGAAGGTTAAATAGTGATTGGAGGGATTATTGTGAAGCACTCATGGACTGTGCAGATGGATTGCGATGCTCAATCATGATGTGGGCTGTGACTAGCATTTAAGTGAAATTTGATCAGTGCGATCACAGGAACTGTACCTGATGTTGTCCGCCTGAAATGAATGGTTAAAAGTCAGTCCCCATTTTGACGTATATTGTTGGTTCCACTTTTGGTGGCATCACGATTGTAGTTGATAGTTAATTGGATTAGTATGAGATTTCCGCCAAACATACAGCCTGGTGACCAACCTACACTTCTTTCAATTTTTACACTGGGTCATTTTTCACGTCCATATCTATCAAAGTGGGGTCTCCGTTGTTGTTAAACTTTAAATTTGAACACCAATTAAGCATGGACACTGGTTTACAACTCCGATACTTGACCACTTTATGAAGCAAATTAATCTGTTCTACCTTTAACCCACCTTGCAGCACCGCGGACGAGTGAATTGGAAGGCCGCAATCAAGTCAATGAAAGCAACACTCAGACGTTTATCAAACTGACATCCTCTCATGAGGACAGTGTGGGCTATATTAATGCATTCTCTTTTGATCATTTAATCAACGCAACGATAAAAATGCCACTGTCAATTCACAGACCCAATTTCTATCGAACCGACAGTGACATTATCTCCAGTGTAGTACAAACCAAATATTTTTATTGTTGAACTTTTTTGGTCATTACAAGAATTCAGTTTTATAAATTCAACTGTTTTATGAGCCTATTAATCCAGTGAATAGGTGAGTTGATGGTAATCTCATAAAACTCATTTCCAACATATACCTGCAAATCGATGTAGGAAGAGATTGTTAGTCGACAAAACATGAACGTTATCTCGAAAGATGTTGCGCCTCCCACCTACTAGATATTATTGATGGTGTTATCGTGAAAGTCCTTCATATCAATGGTGCCAGTGTGGTAAGCTTGTGTATACACATTTACCACTACAACAATGAGCTTGAAGAGAAAGTAAACCCCATAGTTAAGTGAGCCTCGGGAATATCTATCGTTAAGGCATTTACCAGTGGTAATGTAAGTAACAAGGTTTGTTATAGAACAGGTGTGTCTTGCTAATACAAGTGCGCTTATGTTCAGATAAAACATTTCCCCGGGGAGAGCAAACTTGATCAATGTCCCTATCGTTAACTTCTGTGTAAGATGAATTTTAGATAAAAATATGTGTCCAAATCATCTCAGTGATAAACGCTACAGTACAGTTTGATAAAGTGTAACGGCCTAACCATTGATAATTCATGTTCTACCTTAAACATTTTATTTTTTATTTGCTTTTGCAAATCCCATTCTCTAGGTCTTGTAAAGTTATGCTTTCTAACCCACCATACACTATTAAACTATTGGACGGTGCTTAATGTTTGATTCCATGACAAGGAGCCCTACCAGACTCACCGCATCACCCGACATGCTAGCTGGCAATGGAACAAGCTGACACCGTCTATGTGGTAAAGTCGCACGCCATTCTCATTAACTCATCAGTAAGCATCAGCCAGCGATATTTTCACCACACAACATAACTGATTTCCTGCGATAACCCGTAAGATTCCATCAGCCATATCCTCTCGGCGCGGTCCGAGTGCGCTGCAATAACCAGACACCGGGGTGCCAAATGTTATCGCTCGCAATCGATACACCCTATGTGCATTTCTTATGAAGGTCAATGTCTATTTGTCCACTTCTATTATTTTTGACCTGGAGAAGTAGCATATACCCAAGTATGTTTCGCGCACCTGGAAGAATGGGGAATGCGATTGTCGAAATTGTTTTCATCATGCGAAAAGTACCTATGAAACGGCTAGCATGTTGTCCCTCTTCCCGCCAACGGATGCTTGATCTGTATTGGTATGCCACATGTATCCGCATCGCAGCAAATGACGAGTAGCGAGCGATGAATAAAGGGCTTATTATAAGTCACTATAAACAGCAACACGAACTTTTACACTAATGAACTAAACTGTTACCCGGACAGTTTTGCTCCAAGAAGAACATATGTATTGCAGTTGGCTGTCAATAAGCACACGTATTATCAACCTAGATGTGAGAATTTCGAGGAGTTAGTTGCACTTTTTATCACCATTCCGTCTGCCAACTTTTGACTATAATGTTTCCTCATCATCATGAATAATTTACTCTTAAAAGTTACGTTCTGAAAAATATTTCCAATTCACATTTACATCTCAGTTGGAGCTCCTCGTAAGCAAACATTAATTCGACAGTCAAATAGTTCAGGGGCAGAGGACTACAGCAAAGCCCCACCGCAATAGACACCTTTTTTAAGTCATTAAAACTACCGTTAGCAAAAAAGACACAACCAGGAATCACTTTATATAGTAAACACGATACTTTGCTGAGAAGAGAGTGTGCTCGTCAGTAAAATCAAAGATATTCTCAACTTCTGTCATGGAAGTCTAACTGGGCGTTGCAAATGGATCCTGTAGTTTTCCATTAGCAGTTTAATTATAGTGGGTGGATTAAAGTTGATTTTCTACGGACAATCGGATTGCCGGGATTGAAGACATGGGTTCGCCTTTGTCTGTGGAACCAGAGTGCTGGACTCCGTTTTTCCTAGCCTACTCATGGCCAATCACCAGAACCGGAGTTGATTTGATAGAAACTTCTACTCGGTAAACAAAAGGCATATGTGTACATTGCTTAAATGAACCTTACAGGCAGTGAAGGGACATAAATGAGCCACAGGAGTGCGCATTGCGCTCACTGTACAGAGCAAATGTAAGAAATGAGAAGAAAAAGTAGTCGAATGATTTCATCATTGAAGCGCTGTTGTGGATTCGGTGAAAAGAGGATTATTGCAGATGACAGCAGTGCTATGTGTGCAAGCACATGGGGTATCTAAACCATGCGAACAATTGATAAAGAGGTTAAACCTTACTCTGGCAGCGATATTACGAAGTCGCATCTTCTCACAATCAGGAAATATGCAGGGAAATCATTGTCAGGGTGAAGCGTGTATAACTGACAAATGCGTTCTGCGCCTGCAGTTGCATCCACGAAGCCCGGTATCCCCATCACATCTTCACTTGGTTGTCAGCATCTGAACGCCTTATGAGTGATCGCAGAGCTTCATATTATCATGTGTTCAAAGGTCGGCACTTCTTAACAAACTCATTTCTGCATATTAATTTCATCCAACAAGAAAGCATCCGTTTACTTTCGGTCAGTAACCAGAGGACACAATTGGCGGACGCGAGAGATGAGGATTTTGCACGGGGCTTGCTGATCGCTCAAAAGCAGAATAGTATATATTTTCTAATAACCGACTTTAAAATGCCTTTTCAAGCGAAGACCACAGTAAAAGCTTTCAACCAGTCATGCATACTTCTTCTTGTGCCTGTTGTATTTAAAAGACGTATAAATGGTCGTTGGGTTTAACTCCTTAGTGCTGAGCTTTTTCGCTGACAACAAGTTCACTGCGATCCTTTGAGCCCATGGCGTCTATCGTTTAGACCAGAACAGCGACGATTTGAACAGGATGTCAGTGACGGTTATTAGCTTCGCGACGGCTAACTAAATTATGGTCTTCATGAGTTTCGACATTCCATCCCCGGGTAAAGTCAGAATGCGTAGATGATAATGTCTAGTAAGTTGGACGGCCACGTTACAATTCATACCAAGCTTTTTTGACGGTTATACACAAAAACACGCCTATGTGCGCAACTATGATCATTTCACACAGAGGTGATCATGTCATTATCTCCAGCTTCAGGATAATAACATCCGAGAAGTACCCCACGGTGTGGCTGCATGCAGCCGTCCAACGGCTCCATGTAACTGACTGACACTTTTCCATTAGGCCGTGCAAGGTTATAACTCAAATAAGTGTATCTGTCCCGATCACAAAACTGTTGTGAAAGCGTCCCATTGATGGTATCCGTACCAGTACATGCGATTCTGTCTTGCATTTCAATTCCATTCTCTACCAGAGAACAAGCACACGCATAGACTAGTCGGTTTTGGGTTGCCGTTACTTCCCTCAATGAGGCATGTAGGCCTAATTGTTTAGAAGTCAAATATTCGGAGTAAAACCTGAAAGGCACAGATTCGGAGTTAAGATTATTACAATCCGTGGAAGTAGAAGTGAAAGTTTGTTTTTGGCCTTGGCCGTGTTTGGAACTCCATACGTAGCCACATCCGTATTTTAAATCGACCCCTTCGCGATCAGCTGGCACTTGGTGTTGACAAGTAAACAAACCGCAGTCAAATGGCTTGTGTTGTGTTTCATTTTGCATGTCGGGCTGCTGACACTCAAGTATTTGGGATCCATTCAATAGTGGGAAATTTTTCAACTCGGTAATATTTGGATAGTCGTTTCCACTGAAGGTCTCAGGGCGGATGGTCAAAACAGGCTCCATGCTGCTTAAGAATTCCATTCTGACACAGAAGTCAAGTAACAGAGATGCAAGCAAAACAGTTGCAACAACAAACGCAGATTGACTTGCAAACTTGATCAGAGTGAAAGCCAACCCAGGAAGTTTGGTGGAGAATGCACCAACCACATCGTCACCTATCCCAAGGTTAGAAAGTCTGGGATCGATATTCAGAAAAATACAGATACCAACATTACACGGTATTGTTAGGAAAATAAGCATAAAGGCTAGAAGATATGAGGGCAGATTGATGATCTTTCTTTCTAGATGTGCATGCGATGCCTCTGATTTATTTGGGAGTAATTCCAATGGCATTGTACAACAGTGTATCGCAGCAACACATTGTAAGCCAGCACAAAGTGATATACTTCCAGTCACAAAGCAAAACGCATCCACGATGTGTACCTTGGTCACAGAACTGTCAGATAGTTCTTGAAGCATACTGATGGAAAGCCATTTAAGGACACAACTGATAATGACCAAGCCACCAGATGTTATCACAGCGGAAGAAAATACTAAAATGATACGGGTCAAACTGACACAAAATCGGATGTCTCGACTTTTTGGACTAACATGGAATTGAAAACTAGCAGAACGGGATAACATAACTTGATAACGGGCCTGAAGCTGCACTTGTTTTCTGTAACACGCTTCCCGGAAATTTGTAATGTGCGCCAAGAGTATGATGTCACAAAAAAGCTGCATAATCGGATTGCACACTTCCCTCCACCGGGGATCCTCACACAATCCGGTATCCAACCAAGTCAAGGTAACATTTTCTACTATTGATCGCTTATAATCTATCTTTGGCCCAACTGGTCTACTGTACTTTAGCATCGTTATAATCACCACTATCAATGATCCAAATGATGCAGAAATTGTGAACAAAAAACTGGCAAATTCCATTTGTGCATGCAGCGAAGATATTTTAATATGTGTACTGTATCGGGGAAATGGTATTCGCCACTTCCCCCCTCGAGACTCACTTCCCCCCTTCTTCTTCGATGCACAGAACTCGGCCAAAATACACGACAACGCGGCTAATAGATTGACCAAAAGCGCAGCCACCTTCGTGAAAAATTGAAAGAAATCATGAGGATTCTGTTTGGTATTAATATCCAGTTGCTTCTTCTTGCAGGGATAACTGCCGTTGTCGGTTAAAGAAATGGAGTCTTCCCATGGAGTACAGAATGAACTGGTGGCTAATGCTCGGAACAGGTCCATCAGGAC